GCCACGTGGTGCAGACCATCTGATGATTAAAGACTTTCGCAGTTCAACTCGTCTTTTCGTAGGATATCTAACAACTAGATTTCAAAGTTTTCTTTATTACATTCTGTTTCAAGATTTTTCATTCTTGTTTTCAGCTTCAGTTTGTTTTATTCGTTCAAACATGTTTCCAATCTTTTGAAAAGAACTGGTGCATTTATCTCCATATATTTCTGTGTGGTTCTCTGTCCACGATAATTACACATATCCAAGGGCGGAAGAAGAAACGACTACCGAGTGATAGGGTGCAGGGAGGGTCGGGATCGTTGACATATCATTCTAGCTGTGCACATGTCAAGAAGCTTTAGACTCATTGGCCATAATCGTGTCTCACAGTCCCTGAACCATTCTATTTGTCCTTCTGTGCAGTACTTTCTGTAACGGGAAAGACCTGAATGAAGCAAGTAATAGGTTTGAATTTCATTTTCATTTTCAACTTAAGAAGAGCATTTTTCCACCATAAATGTTCGTCTATCATTCGTACTTAAGCACTGACGAAATAACAGCTGCAAGTATACTTCTAGAAGCTCTTCTTTGTTGCCCAACAGCAGGTGTGCCATCAGGGGGGACCGTGAAATAGGCTGACGGTCAAACGAAACTTTGCTGTCAAATCTACATGAAAGTTCCGTTTTAGCAAACACAGGGAAAGCATTAACTTTAGCCTTGGACTCAATAATAAACGTATTTGGCAAGATTTTACATGTCTGTTTCGGGCTTTAGTAGATTTAATCGTTCTATCATGTCTGTAATTTCTTATTTCTCTGTGTAGTTCTTCTGTCCAGACCCGAGAAGATCCGGGTTGGAATTGATCTTCAGTAACCCATGCTTGTCGTAAGAGACGACTAACGGGATAGGGTGGTCAGGCTCGCTGGCTTGGTTGACACAAGTCTTGGTATCCCAACTGCGTAGATCGATACTCATGCTGTTTGATCACTGGATTGTTTGGTCCAGACTCGAGTATTTACATGTAGCTGGAATATTGTTGTATGCGGCGTAAAACTAAACTCATTCACTCACTTACTCCACTGTCCAGTGTATGAATATTTGTCCTAGGATACATGCACCCAACACGGCGAGTGACATGGTGAAGAGTGTATCGACGTCGCTGATGATGTTGAGGACAGGTAGTCCCAGCTTCTCAAATTGCAAATTTTCAAAGTGACTGGATTTTTCGTTTTGGTCCATGCATCCATTGTAATATGAAACATACGCCCTTGTAGTGTAGTCACTTTGAAAATGTGAAATTTGAAAAGCTGGGACAACCTATCCTCAACATCAGGAATGTTGATAACCCTTCACCCTGTCACTGGCTGTGCTATAGCCCTTGACGTTGAACCCAACCCGACCAACTTGCAAACACTGTGTAATCTACATGGTCGAGATACTGAATAAAATATATTTCATTTATCAAATTGTGCATTCGTATATTGCTTTTAATGCCACGCGTTTTGATGCGAGTCAGGGAAATGGACAACTTGATGTCAAATGCAGTTGGTTCCCGCGTCTCTGCTAATGAATAATTGACATGCCATTGCATGTCTTTGTCACAGGTGCCATTGATGGGGCAGGGTGCGCTGGTTTCTACGTTTCCTGTTTTAGAATGTGTTCGTACAGGGCGCGGTAGTGAAAAAGGTGAAAAAGAATGCAAATAAACACTGGGCACTTATAAAGCGCCTACATCCACGCATTTGTGCATGATCAAGATGCTAAGACATTATAACCCGAAGTTGTCTGTGAGGCGCTAGAAGGTTAACAGTCATATGACTTGTTTCACCGGGTACCCATTCACTTCTGGGGAAATAGAGGCAATTTTAAACAAACTCACTTGCTAAGGTGAGGCCATATGTATCACGCGCGCTTAGTTGTGGGGCTGGACAGAAGAGCTAGGAACTCTCTGCAGTCAACCTGCAAAACACAGTTACCAACACAAGCACTCCGTGACCAACTTTGAATTGAGACCTGGGCTCCAGACACACCACACCACACCACAACACACAATAACAACACAACAACAGGGCAACGCAACGAAGCGTTGCACCACAAACACAGTTCAACACAACACACCAACAGCGCAGCACAGCACCGCAACGCACCGCAACCGCAACGCAATGCAACGCCACAAACACCATACAGTACAACACAACACAGACACAAAGCAAAACACACAACACAACACACCATAAACGCAACACAACAACACAGCACCGCAAAACACTGCATCGCACCACACCGCAATGCAACGCCACAACACACCACAACACACCACAAAAACAACATCACATAACAACGCCACAGAACACCACACCGCACAAACACAAACCACAACACAACGCAACACAACATCACACCACTCCATACCACCACTTAACTCAACACACCACACATCACATCACGTCTCAACACACAACACAAAAGCACCACAAACATATGCCTTACTGTGAGGAATTATGCATTCTTATTCTTTAACTATAAGGGAGACGACTCGTGGCGGCTTGCCGGGTTTCTGTTGTTAAGGGAGCATATCCAATATGTTATCAGAAGCTCTGGATTAGGATGTCTTTGTAATGGAAAGGGCGTGAGAGTAATAAACGTGTGGTCTAGCACATGTCTTACTGTGAGAAATAATCTTTCTTAATACCCATTAATGTTCGTTAATTATAAGGGAGACTTTCTATCAGCGTTCCGTTGAAGAGGTGTATTTTCAACAATTTTTTAATATAATATTATAATAATGACAAACTAAGCAGTGTGAATGTAATCAGGGAGAATGTTTTCTAACGCAAAGCAGGTAAAACAGGGGTCGATGGTTTAGCTAAACTCTTCAAAAACCATCGTTTTGTTTACAAAAAGACAGACTTATTGTACACAAGTAACCAAATAGCAATATTCCAGCAATACCACGGCGGGGGACACCAGAAATGGGCGTCCCATATGGTGCCCATGTGGGGAATCGAACCCGGGTCTTCATCGTGACAAGCGAACACCTTAACCACTAGACTACCCACCGCCCCCATTTTGCGAAGATGTCAGTTTGCTCGCCAATATCACCTTTAAACAGTTTGGATGAGGCTTCTACGTGCAACCATTGTGATGGAAGGTTCACTGTGAACCAGATTGTGCCTGACCGTCTAGAATGTGCAACTGAAAGGGATACTAATGACCAAGCAGTAAAATTTGAAAAATATCATTAAAGTTTACTCAGAGTGACACACTCAGTTGTAGACTTTCGGCCTGTTTTAACGACTGGTTGTTTAAAGTACACATCGTACACGTGAAAGTCTATATATTCAAGTCAATTTCCACAACACAGGTATGTAATGACATCTAAGAATTCCAGTAATCAATGTATTATGGGTGGCGATCCCCGAGACAAAACAACTGTTGTTAGACCAGTGTATTCTGATGTATTTCCTGTGCATTTTAAACAAGGACATATTTTCATAAAAAGTGCAGAGTAAAGACACCCAACTCTCCCCTTACAATACATTAAATATTTCCTTTCCCCGTGCTGTTGATCACTGGACTGTCTAAAACGTAAAACTAAACTCACTCACTCCTTTCCTTAATCCCCATCCCATCGCATATATATATAATCATTACTTCACACAGCTGTGCCTTTAAGGTGCTTGGAATAAACGCGACAACTGTTGTTTGTGGCAGTACGCTTCCCATGACTGATAATATTGCTTTTATGGTCAAATTTATATATATTTAATGTGTGTGGTGGTGTTTAGTCTTGTGCATAAGGCCAAAGACACAAACCTGTTGAAGTTAAGCAAAAATGGTCTCTAATGGGTGATAGCTTGATTCCAGGTTGTGTTTGGGATTTCAGTCCTGTCCCATAACGAAGCACACCTGAAACATTTGGTTTCACCTGAGGCAAGTGAGTTTGTTGTAAAATGTCTCTATTGCCCCAGCAGTGAATGGATAAGTGGTGGTATAAAATGGTCTTAGGACTGTTAACCTTCTAGAGTTTCACAGGCAGCTTCAGTTGAAATAAAAATTCTTGAGTAACACGAGGGGCTATCAAAAAGTAGTAAACCTAGCTCCAATATTTGAATAGCTTCCATTTTATTATGAAGGAATCATTAGCAAAGCCATATCCAAAATATCGCATGTGTTGGTAATGTGGTTATCGAGATATTAGTCATCACAACACATTAGGGCATAATATTTGTAAAGTAATTTCAGAAAATGAAACACGATGTCATTTGGTACCCCTTAGATGATGGTATGTCCTCAGATAATATCACATAAAATATGTTCAGTATGGTATTGGATGACTTTTCGTCATAATCAACAGTCAAAGATTTGGATTGCTTGATTTAGGTTTAGACGGGAACTGTTTTTAAAGACACGCCCATTTTAATCTTTCAAACACATTGTATCGAGGCACTGTTTACAATATATTTAGCGCTGGTTCTTGTGTGACCATTCAGTATCTAGTTTGAACCCTTGGCATCATGTATGAATAAGTGAAACAATAGAATAAGTTATGTCCTTATGATTACGTCATCAGAAAAGGGGTGGCTAGTGTCTCTAAAGCAAGCTCTTTCAGCACTTTAATATATAAGTTTCATTCCAACGGACTTCTACCTATCTCAAACAACCAAAATGGTTCTAGCATATTTTGTTTCCTGAAGTTTATGATGCATTTATTGCAGATTTTGCATTTTGGGTTGTTACCAAGATAAAAAGTCAAACAAAATAGGGATCGTGAGGCTGGAACATAGCAGAATCAATTTGCTTGAGATTGACAGATATGTAGAAACATAAAAACAGCTGCATCTGTATCATTTTCTTGGTTCTGCTCACTACATTTTGATAGCCTCTCATATAACTATGTCTGCGCTGTGCGCATAATTTGTCCTCAGCGCCACTGAGCAACATTGGGGAGGGGTGGTGGATATCAGGAATTTTACAAATGAAATATATATCATATGTTATATTTATTTAAATTTCAGATTATTCCACTGGTATGGGGGAAATTTCGAAAACACCACATCTACATAACGGCGCTCTTTGCAGTGGCAACTTTCGTCCTCAGCTTACGGGAAATAGCCAGACTCGAACAAATCCAAAATAGGAAGCTGGCTAACCAAATTGTTCCCTTTGATTCTGAGTTCCCTGAAGGAGCTAAAACTCCTTTGCTCCGTGAAAGTCCATCATTTTGGAAGCAATGGGTTGAGCGAACATTGAAGGAAAACTTTGATGACATCATAACTGAAGCACAATATGAGCACACTTCTGGTTCCAAGAAGGCTCCTTCAACCGTCAAAGAAGTAACAACAATGACACCTAGCAGTCCAAAGCGGTTGAATTACGTTGTTTGGTTCAATGCACCAGCATGGATTAAAAGACAGAAGGGTTCAGAATTGTTTGGAGGTTGTAAGTACAAAATGTGTACATTATCATACGATCGTCAAGATCTCCCTAAAGCAGATGTCGTCCTTGTTGATGGATTTAACCTACACAAGGGGGCGCCACCACCCAGATCAGCCAATCAAATGTTTGCTCTCTTTTCCTTTGAACCACCAACATATTTAACAATACCTTCCGAATGGAAAGACGCTTTCAACTGGACAATAACCTATCGTCCAGATTCGGATGTGTGGAGGCCTTATGGGATCGTACGGAAAAGGCCATCCGGTTTGAAAGGGAAAAACTATGAAAAGTTGGTAAAAGAAAAAACAAACAGTGTTGCATGGTTCGTTAGTCGCTGTGCTTCACACAGCCAAAGAGAGAAATACGTCAAAGAATTGGAGAGGTACATCGATATAGATGTGTTCGGGAAGTGTGGCGATGCCAAATGCGGTAGAGATTGTTATGAAAAGTTAAAATCCTATAAATTTTTTCTTGCTTTTGAAAATTCCTTTTGCGAGAATTATGTGACTGAGAAATTCTTCAAAACATTTTTGCATGATGTTGTTCCTGTGGTACGTGGTGGCCCAAATTATAAGAATCTGTTTGGAGGTGGTTATATCATAGACTCAAAAGATTTTGCAAACATAAGAGAGCTAGGATATTATTTGAACTTTCTTTTGACCAATGATAAAGCCTATATAGAACTGTTGAAAGAAAAGGACACGTTGAAAGTATATTTTCCATTACCATGGTGTGGTCTGTGTGAAAAGGTACATAAACCTTTTCTTAAGCAAACCTATGCTGATATCAACCAGTGGCTGTCGAAAGAAAAATGTTATTCACCAACTGATTTAAGTGGATAACACTGATCACCCATAAGCGCGGTAGTCTGTGAGGACAACAGAGATATTATGCCATTTGGGGCAAAGTTAAAGAGATTTTATTTACTTTCCAGTAAAAGCAAAACAATGTGCTGTTATAGGTGCAAATATGAAGCACGTTACTAATTCATTGTCAAGCTCTTGTATCAATCTCCGAAAATACACAACCATATCTAAAGTAGGAATTTTAAAGTTTTCAGCCTTCCTTTGTGTTAGTTCATTAGCTCTAAAAAGACCCATTAACAGTTTCTGCGCTGGCTACTGATCATGTTAAAACGACAAGGCTTTCCAAATGCAGTTGGATATTTTTCTTATAGCAGGGGAATAAAATAATAATTGGAACGGTATAGTGTCCTACTGTTTTTAGTCGAAACGATGAAACGCCTTGCAAACTTGGAAACAATACCATTCATTTGCATAAACATGAGTCTGGTTGACAGCCTCAGCTGTGACATCCTTCCTTGAAAGTGTGCTTGTGATTGATAACTGAATGACATCACTGAGTATAGAAGTGAGATAAGCGCTGTGTCAGCAAGCTGAGTATTTCAACTGGCAAAAACATGACAAACCTCGCTATATAAATGCATAAAATGTAACAGCGATGAAATAGAAAACGAATATCACTTTATCATAGAATGCTCAATCTACAGTGATCAAAGAATTAAATGATTAAATCAGTCCTTTTTTAACCACCTTCAGTTTACAAATTTCTACAATTAGTTTCTACTAATAACGTTAAAAACTTAAGAGCTACGCATTTATACGCACTGTTACAGTCAATAGTGATAGCCAATTGTTAATACAACTTGTGATCTATTGAAACAACAGGGTCGGTAATGAATGACATGAGTTTTCTTATTATTAATAGTCAAACGCCAGCGTTTACACCAATTATCAACGCAATCTAACATCCGCTGTACGTTATACAGACAGACAGACAGACAGACACCACAATTGAGATTGTTGATTTCTTCAGCCATGTCATTAATGTGAATAAAAAACAGAGTGGGTAACATTGCACAACCCTGTCTAACACCGTAATTTACATGAATATATCTGTTGTTTATGCGTGCACGAGTGTTGGAGTTATTGTACATAGATGGAACAGCATAAAGAAATTTCCCTTTGATTCCAAGTTTTAACAGTTTAAACCATAGACAATTTCTGTCAACCTTATCAAACGCTTTCATAGCATAGATGAAGCACACAAAAGTAGATTTCCTAGTTACCTTTCTGTTGTTGATTACAGAATGTTGACTATAAATATGTTCTTGAGTTCTACGGTTGGATCAGAAGCCATTCTGTTCCTCAACCAACACATCGTGAAATTCTAGCTACTTTGTGAGCCTAGTATTAAGGATATCTGAAGTGAAATACCGCGATAACCCAGTGGATCACGTGGGTCTCCCTCAGGCTTCTTAATAGGATTTATAAAGCTGGTATACGAAATATCCGGACATTAATGGTTTTCAAGGCAAAAAGTAAACAGTCTAAATAAAAGATCAACACATCTTTTACTTTATAGAGCTTCAGCAGGTAAACAATCTGGACAAGCAGCCTTGCCACGTTTAGCACGGGCAACCGCGCACTCAACCTCCGCCAACGTTATTGGTCTATCGAGGTCGCTGGTGTCAAACGTTCTGTCACTCGTCACGTGACCGTTGTCCATTTCATCTCGAAGTCGCTGTAAGTGAGCATCATCAAAGCAAGAGGAATTATCAGTCTCAAACAGAAAACAATAGTCACGTTTCCATTTACACTTACTTCCTGCGGGATAGCAAATGAAGCAAATAGCAATGCCTAATTTACCGATAGTTTTCCAACAACTGCGCGAATCTTTATCGTTATGTTTATCCAATAGTCGCCGCTGCTCGTCCAGTTGATTAGAACGTTTACATTTACGAAGCTTTCTATCAAAACATTTGCTCCTTTGAGAGACATTTTAGAAGTTTTATAGATGAATGGAAACCAAGTTCTATGGATAGTCAACTTTTTTATTGCAACGAGTGCGCCGTTTCGGTGTAGGTACAAACACCGTTATCAAGCAAGTGATTTTTAAAACATTTTCTGTCGGACACATAGAAAAGTCGCAGATTCAGACAAAGCACACTTACCTAATTCTTTGTGTATAAACTTTACAAAATCATTGTAGGCCCCGTTAATATCGTGTTGCGAATTCAGCTGAGTTTCAATTTTGACTATTACCTGATTTACCATGTTAACTATACCTGTAGTATGAAACACACAGTGATATACCTGTAGTAGCGTCCTGCAAACAAATAGTCGTTATCTTACTGGGAATATAATGCTGGTGTATAAAAGCACCACTATCATCATAATCAACAGCTTTACCCACGTCGAGCTTCACATAATAATAATAATAATAATAACAATGTGTCCATTTACATAGCACCAAACTCCACACTAGCGCTAACAATCAAGGCACAGCACATTATTACCCCGGATAACCCAAGCTGCCTGTTAGGCGCTAGAAGGTTATAGTCATATGACTTTTTCCACCGGGTACCCATTTCCTGCTGGGTGAACAGAGACAATTTTTAACAAACTCACTTGCCTAAGGTGAGACCACATGTGTCACATGTGCCTCGTTGTGGGGACTCAAGTCCTAGAAACTCAAGCTGCCAAACACGGTCACCCATCCAAGGACACGGTCACCCATCCGAGCTCGACGCTGCTTAACTTCACCGATTTGTGACCTGAGTTTTGAGCACAGGACCACGCGTCACCATGGTTAGGAATACAGTCGTGCCCCGTTTATCCGAACCTCAGATATCCGGAAAACTCGCCTTCCGAACGAAAATTCCTCAAAACGAATTCACAATGTTGTAAAAACACTCACTTATCCGGAAATCCGGTTTCATATTCACATACAAAAAGCTAAATTATGTGCATTTTATTCTCGTATAACCGGATGGCTGAGCACCTGTCAGTATGTTTACACACGCATTTTACCGAGTGGCTTTGCGTGCCCTGTCATGTAATTAAATATATATACCACACTCCATTGTTGCTTACAAAGCTGTGATATTTTATTTACTACTATCTGTTTTATATATAATATAGTGCCTTGTGTCTCATAGGCCATATGGCCGGATGTTATATTTTATTGAATGTTTTTAAGTTTATGTATGTTTTATATATAACATGTGACACAAAAATAAAAATATTTTCTTCTTCTTCTTCTTCTCCTAAAATGAAAGAAGTCGGCAATCTTTGAAGCGTGAGAGGCTTAACTACATATCTCACAGGACAGAATGGAGTGGTCCGGTTAACTGTCCGGCATATTACAACAATCAACAACACAAGACATAGTGATAACATTGAAGTCTGTAAAATAGCTCAATTCTTCGTGGGCCCGCATGTATATTCCGCTGGAACTTAAGTGACCTTTCCGCAGAAGAACATTATATCAAAGTTGACAAAAACTATGCATTTACGGTATATATTTAATCACTGTGAAATATATTTGAACAAATTAGGATCAATGAACAAATTTGGTGGGACATTTTGTAGCTGAGGTAGTTCGACTGGTACCCATTAGATGCATATCATAAAAATCAGTAAGAGATTTCACATAAGCTTGAAAATGTTTCGCTATAACGTTCGTTCCGGTTTGGAGCCCCAAATGGTGCAATCTACCCGACAACTTGTCGAATACGACGGCAAATCATCAAGTACGTGTACATTCATTGTTTTCCATTTTGTCCAATTATGCACGTCGGCTTCAGACTCGGTGTTAGCCAGTAGTGTCACTAGTGTGTGCCGTGAAAGTTGTTGTGTATTCTCATTGGCCGACAAGATGTCATTCTAAGGTTATGACCGAGCACCAAAACTATTTACATAAGCAAAACTAGGGAAATATACATTGTCCTGACTAGTATTTTCTAATTCACTAGTTTTCGGGTAATAACTTATTTGCGTCGCTTATATTATCGCTGCTCGACCAGCATGGGATCTTGTATGGAAACTTGAAACGTTATTAATCAGATCTAGGATCCTAATTCTTTTCAACCAAATAATTCCAGTGTAATTTTTGTAACAGATAATTTCTATTTTCCCTCGTCTCAAGCATAATCATTTTTTCTAAATGCTACACAACCTGCAGTCACCCATTTGACACGAAAGGAACTGCAATCACATTTCAACAACATATATTCATAGCGACTGGTCATTTATTTATAGGCGTGGGTGTGCTGGTTGGACTGTATCACATTTTGCTAACAAATAATATTCCTGATAAACTATATGGTCTAATTGAAAAATTATTTTAACATCATGCGGTGCCTCCGTTTCGATTAATTCTTCTTCTTCACCTTGACTGGAAGATTGTCTTGCAAGATGTAAAATCGGATCGTATTGACAACATCCACCTTAAAAACGACATCAGGATTCAGGAACATCTTTTATTGCTTCAGAATCCATGGACACACTTAAGTTGTGAGGTAAAATCAAAGAGAAAGCCATCAGCAACAGGCACATGTCACATGATAACCCCTCTACTCATTAACTCTCGAGTGTTTCCGTAATAAACGGAAGTACGAGTACGTTTTTTGTGTTGTAATTGCGATTTTACAGACTTCTTATTCAATATTAATCAAGGAAGGTGAATTTTAGAATGAATTCACCTCTATGAAAAGTTTTGTTTTCTTTAGTAATCTCCTTTAAGGCTCCAAATGGACACAGTGGAAGGGGTTCGCAATGCACTGAACAGACAATATCTGATATATAAAGTAAAACGTTTTTTGGACTTTGTACATTGAGATATTTTTCCCATTAGTGTGATTTTCCACATTTCTCTCTTGCTGGTTTACTGTTTCGCTATTCGATACACTTCTTCCAATTTCAACATGTACAACGTCCAACTGGACCCGATACGGCTGGGGACCTGTGGATAGTCTTTTTGAGTATAGGACTTATATAAATAAAGGCATATCCGATTCATCATTTTCTACCAACACATGCCACCAAGTAGCTACATTTTCAACAGGAAAACATAATTTACCATTTGAAGTTGTTGTGAAATCAATCTTTCTGAAGGCATTGTTCGCATTCTCTTTCTCCGCAAAGACGCAATGTGAATCAGACGTGTCACACCAAACGAACATTTTCACCAGCAACACTTTACTATTTCTATTCGTAACAGCTTCTTAAAAAATGCGGTGATGGTTAAAGAAATAGTTTAGGCCGTTTCTCGTCTCTCTCCGACAGGCAATATCAGCTGTTGACAGATTACCTCCAACTGACAAAAAACCCTCAGACACTCATTGGCTCTTGAATCACATGACTGAATATACATCTAGGATAATGGCCGTGTCAGAGCGATGAGTATTATGATTGGCAAATTGGTGTCAAGTGCTGTAATATAAGGCCGCAACCACTTTCTACTGGCCATCATACCAACAGATCTTACAAGCATCAAAATGGAGACTTCTCGCTTTGACGTCAACACTCGCCTTAACGAAACTGAGATGAAGTTCAAAAGGGCATGCGAACAAGTGGTCCTTCTTAATGACAAGCTGGGGGGGTTGCAGACTCGTTATGACAAGGCACGACAAGAAAACCATCGCTCCTTTCGCTAC